CCGTGGGGCAGCGACAGCACAGCTGGAGGAGCCATGGGGGGGCGTGGGGGCGGCATGGCACGGCCGGAGGAGCCATGGGGGAGGCGGGCGTGGTGCGGCTGGAGGAGCCATGGGAGGGTGCGGGGGCGCGGCATGGCACGGCTGGAGGAGCCATGGGGGGGGCATGGGGGCGGCACGACATGGCTGGAGGAGCCAAGGGGGCATGGCCAGAGGAGGAGCCAAGGGGGGGTGTCCCTTTTTAATTTTTGCTCCCCCTACTCTTAGAACCTGCCTACGCCATTGCCCTGATTGTGACACTGGTGTGGTTCTGCTGCATAAGGAGGTGATAGGACACGGCAGGAGCATGCTGGGCTGTGCCTCCCCAGGAATGCAGTGAACCCTGTAGGGCCCATGTGCTGGACAAGTTAGGGAACAAGCTGGACAGGGGAACTGTCACTCCACAGAGCCTGCAGTCCTCTCCTCATCTCTCCCACAGTGTGGGGGGTCACAAGTTGGGGGCTACATGGGGTGGCTCCACTCCTGTTCTGCAGCTGGAGGGGGAGGATTAGGCCCCCACTTTCTTTGGGGTTCTCCTCAGTTTGAGACACACTGACTGATCACAGGATTATCCCCTACATGATACTTATCTCTTTTGGGGTGGTTTTATTTTAAAATAATGTGTTTTACTCACCCTACCTGTAGTAGCTATACCTGTACAGCCACCAGCACCAGCAATCCTTGTAACAGAATTCAACTCTTTTTCTGCTTCTTTGAAGCTGTTTGTGTCTGCAGTCCAGTGGACGTAAAGACAAGAGAGTTTCTGGCGGCAGTGGGAAGACAGAGCTTCAAGCAGCCACTTGACACAAGGGGATTCTAGTCCAGGTCACTCACAAATGGACAGCAGCACCATCTTTTAACCAGCAGAATGGAGAAGTCATCCAGCAATGAGACCCAGACTCTTACTTCTAAGAAAGAGCTCTTGGACTGTACGGAAGGTGAAGATTGCCAAGAGAATGGACTCCTGGTCAAGAACCCTAAATCCACCCTGCAGCTGGTGGAGGATGGGAATAAGGTCCACCCCAGCCAGGGAGATAAAGGGGAAGCAGGTCAGATCTCCAATGGCTACTCAGTGGTTCAGAGCCCAGTTCCTTGCAATGGAATAGGAGATGGGGAAGATGTCCAGTGCACGGCCCCAGCGGCCACCACTACCACCACCACCACCACTTCCACCACTTGTGGGGTGGAGGCTCAACCACAGCTGCTGGAGCTGGAGGAAAGAGAGACCTGGAGTAAAAAAATGGACTTTCTTCTCTCTGTCATTGGCTATGCAGTGGATCTGGGCAATGTATGGCGATTTCCCTATATATGCTACCAAAATGGAGGAGGTCAGTGCTCAGCCCTATATGCCATTCCTTAGAAGCTGGCTTCTTTGAGTATAAATGGGTCAGTTCTATGGCTCAAGTTAAACCTATGAGACCAAAAGTAAGCAACAAGGGATTATGGGGCAAGAGGAACTGATTTATGAGTAGGGCCCTACCAAATTCACGGTCCATTTTGGTCAATTTCTCGGTCAGAAGATTTAAAAAATAATAAATTTTGTGATTTCAGCTATTAAAATCTGAAATTTCACGGTGTCGTAATTTTAGGAGTCCTGACCCATGAAGGAATTGTGTGTGTGTGTGTGTGTGTGTGTGTGTGTGTGTGTGTGTGTGTGTT